ATATATATATATATATAACGTAAGCTCGGTCAAATATTTCAGCTATTAGAGGGATATTTATTACGTATTTCGATACTATGTATCAGTAATAAAAGGTATCTAATTAATCGAAGGACATGCAGAAAATATAAGATCTATGAAGGAACTTACGAAACGACCTGTGCCAAATAGAAATTATAATTTAGAAATAAGAAATGTCAAATGAATAAAATTATTTCGTACAAAACTAGTTGAACAAGAATGCTTCCTACGGTAACAGTGGAAGTTAGAACAATAAATAGGTGACGCGTAGAATTTGGAACATGTACAAAGCGAGAATTCGTTTTAAGGTAGTAGTCATTCACTTTCTTACGATCCTTTTTAAATAACGATATCTTTGTGTCGCTATTATTTATCGATGTCTAAAATATGATAGGAAGCGTTATGATAAGCGAGATAGACTGATAGCTAGTTTTTAGATCCCATTGTAGAACGACTACTACCTTAAAATGGAGGATATCGAATAAGTTCTTTTTTAATTTCGAAAGGAACGGACAATAAAGATTAGAAGCACTTTCTGTGAACAATGGAGGGGCCCGATTCGTCGTACTCTTGCTTCGAGATCCACATCTGCTGGAAGGTACTCAAGCTGGCCAAGATCGAGCCACCGATCCAGACCGAGTACTTCCTCTCCGGCGGAGCGATTATCTTGATCTTCATCGTGGACGGGGCCAGTGCCGTTATTTCCTTCTGCATCCTGTCTGCGATCCCCGGATACATAGTGGTGCCGCCCGACAGAACCGAATTCGCGTATAAATCCTTGCGTATGTCGACGTCGCACTTCATGATCGAATTGTAGGTCGTCTCGTGTATCCCGCAGGATTCCATGCCGAGGAAGCTCGGCTGGAACATCGCTTCCGGGCATCGGAAACGTTCGTTACCGATGGTGATCACCTGAAATTAATTACTCCCCGGTTTAATTTAAACACCGTAATTTACTGGAACACGCATCCTGTTTCGCTCGGATTTTAATGACCAGCCGAAATTACCTGACCGTCCGGTAATTCATAGCTCTTTTCCAAGGCGCTCGAGCCAGCGGCTGTTGCCATCTCCTGCTGAAAGTCCAGCGCGACGTAACACAGTTTTTCCTTAATGTCCCGAACGATTTCACGCTCCGCGGTCGTGGTAAACGAATATCCTCTCTCGGTTAAAATCTTCATTAGATAATCTGTCAGATCGCGTCCCGCTAGATCCATACGCAATATTGCGTGCGGCAAAGCGTATCCTAGAAGATATGGTTCTTTCATATTCGAAATTATGCGCAAGAACATTTTTCATTTCATCGAATTTAAATTATTTGCCAAACTGGATGATAGAGTTTGAACGAGAAACGACGTACCCTCGTAAATTGGTACCGTATGCGAAACTCCGTCACCGCTGTCTAAGACGATACCAGTGGTTCGTCCGGAGGCATAAAGCGACAGAACAGCTTGTATAGCGACGTACATCGCCGGGGAATTAAAAGTTTCGAACATGATCTGCGTCATCTTTTCCCGATTCGCTTTAGGGTTCAAGGGGGCTTCGGTCAGAAGAACGGGATGTTCTTCCGGAGCGATTCTCAGTTCGTTATAGAACGTGTGATGCCATATCTTTTCCATATCGTCCCAATTCGTTACTATCCCGTGTTCGATCGGATATTTAACAGTTAAAACTCCTCTTTTGCTCTGTGCCTCATCTCCCACGTAACTATCCTTTTGTCCCATACCAACCATGATTCCCTACGCGTTCGTTTATTCGATATCCCGTGTTAAAAAGTCCTTAGAAGAAAACGAATGGTAGGAATTATATAAAATTTTTTACCTGGTATCGAGGTCTTCCAACAATGGAAGGGAATACAGCACGCGGAGCATCATCTCCTGCAAATCCTGCCTTACACATCCCTGACCCATTGTCTACTACCAAAGCCGCTACGTCGTCGTCGCACATTGTGTAATTATTTAGTTCCCGTTTTATATGTACGATTCGTAAGGATCGTATTAATTGGTCCCGCGAAAGAATAAGTAATTTTTATTTGTTTGACTAGATTTTGCACTACCTGGCCAGTGCATTGACTCCTCGAAAATTGTACCTGCAGAAGAATGGAGCTGCTTTATATCGATGCCCCCTCTTACACTGGCTCTCTGTGTATTGTGCTTGTGCCTTGAACAGTTTCTTGCACTTCAATGAACTGGCATACACGCAGGTATAATGATCCAGTTAGTATCACTATTTCTTTTCTTGGTACCCGACATATGTTCCGTTTGTATTTTTCGGATATCACTGCTCGTTAGATCACATTAACGCGATGTATGTTCCCACTGCTTGATGAACATTTTTATCAAGAAGAGATGATCTGAATTATAGAACGATTGTACATATAAGATTTACTTAGATTCTTTATTTAAACTGCGAAAGAATACTGTTTAATTAGTTCTTAATATATGCCAATTAAGAGAATGTTATTTTTCATGTACAGTTTGTATGAATTAGAGCATACAAAATATTTCCTTGTCTCTTTGACCAAATCTGTATCGTATCTGAATACGCACCGTTTAAATCGCAAAGTATACCGTACTTTTCATTTAAGGACAAGTCATTTCCTGGTTGTTAACGATAGTGAAATCATTTGAGAATTACAAGTTGGAAAGTAGAACAATATTCAAATGAATACTTCGTTTTATTACATGTACGAGCCTGTTGGAAATTGGAAAAATTGTTTTTCTGATTCTCTTCCGTAATTCCAAACATGTTTCTAATCTCATTTTTCCTTCGTTCAGATCATTTTAAATAATATTAGCATCCTTATTTAAAAGAAAACTAGAGACTTCAGTTTATCGAGTACCTGGAGAATTAGCGCATTTTAGAGACTCATCGTTCCGTAGAATGACCACCGCGGAATCTCGTTATAATCAGTGTATTACATTCCTTAATTAACTGTTCGACCAATGCTTATAATTAGGCCGTGAAATAAAATATCTTACTCTGGGTTTAAATCGACTTTATAATTGAATTCTCGACAGTCTCTTACGACGAAACGATCTGGGAATAAATAATTTCAGACACAAATAAATAAATAAATAAATGTGCTCTTTTATTACACTTGTTACAGCTCCTCGAGAACAACTCTTCTTAAACTTCGTATTCACAAATGATTGGGCAAAGTACCAAGCACGTAATTACAGCAGTCAACAAGTACTTTCAGTCTATAACTCTTATTTATCCCAAAGACCGAGTTCCTTCATCCTTGTTTGGAAATATTTTTCCAGGGCGTTGGCGTATCGATAGTATTCGGTATCCGGACTGTTGTAAAATCGACAGTTCGTAAATATTCGTGTCATGTCCGCGATAAATAATCTCCTCGTCACGTAATATCTAGCTTTCAATCGATCAGTCATAGTTTTCAGATCTAAAAAATAGTAATTACATGTTCTCTTATATCGGTGCACTGATTTATTATGAAGTACTCACCCATTGGATATTTAATATGATCATAATAATCTGGCACATCGTTCTTATCAACGGGCTTAAGAAACGGCCACGCTGTACTGTGGTTCTTAACGCTGTTCAAAACGTTCTTCAAGGCGTTGTACAAAGAGTCGTTCACGTCCAAGCACGCTTCCATCGGTTCCGACCCTTGAGTACCTTTAGCTACTCCTCTCGTTCTCGTTTGAGCGTAACTTTTCCATCCGGTTTCGCGAATACCAGGTATAGATTCCACTGGAATGCCCCTGACGCCTTCTTTGAAACACGTCAGTCCAGGATGAACTTTCTGTATCTCTTGCTGCCTTTGATGAATCAGCTTTTTAATGATCTCTTTCTGTTTCCGTATGACTGCCGTGAACTCCGTATATACAATTTTCGCGTTTAACTCGCAATGCATCAATGTTGCACCCTCATAATCTTTAATGTATCCCTGATACATCGGGCGGGGCAGTTTGATGTCTTTACTGAACCCTTGCTTCTTGAAATATCCAATCGCGAATTCATCGGCGAACGTGAGGAAGTGTAATATGTTGTTCTTAATGTGATAGTCTTTGAGCATGTTCATTAAATGTGTACCGTAGCCCTTGACTTGCTCTTGGCTGGTAACAGCGCAGAACACTATTTCCGTGAAGCCTTGGGTAGGGAACATGCGGAAACAGATACCACCGATGGGGCGACCATCTTTTATTAAAGCCAGTGTCTTATGCTTTCTGTGAATGAATAAATTTTCATTTACCAATTTCGTTCGAATTGATGATCAATCGAGATACTTACGGGTCAAACACTAATTGAGATATGTATTCCTTGGGCATCCTCGGTAACTGATGGCTAAACACGTTGTGCAGTCCGATTAGCCAGAGCATCGTTTGTTTCGAAACAGGCTGCGTTAAACTGTTTCCGACAACATGGAATTCTATGATCTTTCTGCTCTCCTCGATTTTCGCGGTCTCGTCTCGCGGGACGTTCGGTGGAAAGACAGCGTCCGGTCCGCACATGTAATTAGGATCGTTAATAGTGGCCACGATTTCGGAAACAGTCTCCTCCGGTAAATCTTCGAACACTTCTTCGTTCTTTCTTCTCTTCACGTCCGAACGACCCTCGGAATGAGATCTCTTCTCGTGAATTTTCTTTATTCCAGGACTTATATTGATCGTCGTGTAGTTGTCCTTGTCATTCGGTGGGACTGTTACTTTCTCAAATTCACCAGTTTTCCTTCCTGGAGTCACTTTCAACTCCAACGCAGATTGCAAGTACGTCGGCGGTACTTGTTTAAAGTCTGGATCCCAGATCGGTGAACTGTTTGAGTAAATTTCCGCTTCTAACATCGACAAGAATCTGGAAATAAATAAAAATATTTCGTACCGCGCAGATCATTAGCGATCTAAATATAAAATAGTTCTCGTACTTTGGGAAGTGTGTCAAAACTATTACTCTCTTTTCCGGTGCTAGCTTGTCGCGTTCGCTGTGGCATTTGTCGAGCAGTTGTCGGAAAACTGGCTTGAAGACTGCTTGGACGAACGTACGGCCGAAAACGAGAGACGTATCGTATTGAGGTAACGAATCACAAAACGCTGGTATGTGACAAAACACCAACCAACGAGTGTGATTGATTTTATACGCCGGAGCTTCCTCGGGAGTAATCGTACCCCTTCTGGCATTCAGAGGATCAAAGTTCCAGTGATTTAAGCAGTGCAGGAACATTTTTGCCATATCGCACATAGCTTGCATGTCTCGTTGCGACAAATGTCCATACTTATAAGCAACAAAGTTCATCACTGCTTTCGCTATACTCGGCTTCTCGAAAGGCGGCTGTCCCAAAGGACCTTCTATCGTAGGCTTGGTCATGGATTGTATACATTTCCTTAAAAGTTTGTACAAATAGAAATAAACTTTCTTCGTGTCAGGATCCTCTTCTTTCTGTAATCCTAAAAAAATGTTGTCGGCATCTATGACCATACACAACAATTTATTAATCTCTTCCTCCGACTGATTGGTCAAATGCGAGACATGGTTCTCTAAGACGTGGGTACAACTCTTGCAGGGATCGAAGAAGTTTATCACAGGCGGCTGCTGGGTATCGGTCTTGAGCTTAGTTAATATTTGTGGATTCTTCCATCCGGGACACTTGCACTCCTCAATTTTACAAGCACTGTACGTCGCGATTTTTAATATCTTCTTCATCTGTGGCAAATTCAACATTTGTTGTTTTCTGTGTTGTATCCTCTGCAGATTGTTCTGCCTACTACTCTGCTGTTCCTGTGGTCTAGGCGCACTGGATTCTCTGCTGTTTCCAGCATGCTGCGATGTACTCACGTTTTGGCTACTCTCCTCCGTCGATTGTAACATTGGATTGCGGTTCCCTTCTTCAGTGGCCATACTGCATTAAAGCTTTAAAAATTTAAGTTGATTAGTTATTAAATTCATTAAGGAATAGCGAAATTATTTAATTTAGACGTGACTTATTTGGTTGAGTCTATTGACGAGTTGATTTTATGTACAATATTTGTATACACGAAATACAATAATTACGATACTTCTACAACAAATACAATGCTTCTTTAAACCGGCGACTCACCATAACTCACTGTCCACCACAAAGGTGCCACCAGGTAACAACGGTCCCACAGGTACCACAAATCACCACAAATACAAAGAATTAGAAAACAAATTACAGTAAAGTGCCAAACAATGAGTCCATTACTGATTTACATGGTACTTCTGATGCATACCGTATCATGGCGCTATACGAACAAACAACAAAAAAAACATTTTCCTCTCTGATAATAATAATAATAATAATAATAATAATAATAATAATATAGCGATTTAGCCGTAGGTAGGTAGGTAGCGTTGTAGTACAGTCGCTGTGGACGGCATGGTTGCTGTAGCTCTTTCGAGTTTTGACACAGAGGTTGCATGAAAACTATATCTGATAGATGATAAGATAAGTAATCATAAGTAATTAAACACGTAATATCTTAGTATTCTATTGTAAATATTTAGAATTCGAGCAATTTTCGTAACTACTGTTAGTTAATATTAACATGGCTTCAACTGAACTTGACTGGGGCGAATACGTAGACGAACATGAGAAATTATCTGCGAAGGTAACATCTTTGTTATATCCATACAGCACCGGTTTAACCTTATTTCTCTTGTTTGTTCTCAATTAAAAAAAAAGACTTGGATTAAATGCTTACAATATAGTAATGATGATAGTATTTCAATTGTTAATAGGTGTCAGGTTTGAATTTAGACAAGCAAGTGAAAGAAAATGCAGTGGAGACAGAGTCCAAGGTTTCTGATGATTCCACGGAGGAACAGATTTCACCTGCAGAGAAGTCGTTGCTTCAAAAGATTATACGCAAGGGTTTGGTAGAATCAACGAAAGACATAGAAATCCAGAGGAAAGATCCTGCATCACCTTTGTACAGTATTAAATCGTTTGAAGCCCTTCACCTGTTAGTATTTTTATTTATTAATATATTAACATAATTCTAAAAACAAATTTACATTGTAACGTGTATTATAGTAAACCGGCATTATTAAAAGGAGTATACAATATGGGGTTTAATGCTCCATCAAAAATTCAAGAAACTGCATTGCCCACTCTACTTGCCGATCCGTAAGTTCATCTTCAATTACCTGTAGGAAGTATTTCAGAAAAACTTGATAAGCGATAAATTGATGGATCGTAGACCTCAGAATATGATTGCTCAGTCACAGTCCGGAACTGGGAAAACAGCAGCATTTGTGTTGGCGATGCTCAGCAGAGTGGATACAAATAAAAATTATCCGCAAGTGCTTTGTTTATCACCGACTTATGAATTAGCTATACAAACGGGAGAAGTGGCAGCGAAGATGTCTGTTTATTGTAAAGAAATAAAAATCAAATACGCCGTAAGAGGAGAAGAGAGTAATGCATAAATTTAATCTTTGACTTTCTCCAAAAGTGTGCTCCGTCGGAAAAACATTTACTACATGTTTCGTGTTTCAGTACCCCGTGGTACAAAAATCGAAGACCACATCATTATTGGCACACCAGGGAAAGTATTAGACTGGGCAATCAAGTTCAAATTCTTCAACTTAAGCAAAATATCAGTTTTTGTCCTCGACGAAGCAGACGTAATGATCGCGACGCAGGGTCATCAAGATCAGTGCATTCGTATTCACAAGTAATTAGGTTACAACAATTTCTTACCTGTATTATATTTATTTACAATCTCAGAAATCTTGAATCTATTGGTAACAGACAATTACCACGCACGTGTCAAATGATGTTCTTCTCCGCGACGTACGAGGCCGAAGTAATGAAATTCGCAGAAATAATAGTCAATAATCCTTTAATAATAAGATTAATGAAGGAAGAAGAAAGTTTAGATAATATCAAACAGTACTACGTGAAGTGTAAGGATTTGGATGAGAAATACGCGGCTATTACTAATATATACGGAGTTATAACAATAGGACAAGCAATCATTTTCTGTCATGTAAGATGTCTATCGAGTAAGATGTGTTAATAGTCAATCGCTGCTTATAACGTGAAATGATTAAACTGAAATTTAAATGCAGACTAGAAAAACGGCGAACTGGTTATCAGAGAAAATGACAAAAGATGGCCATGCAGTGGCCGTATTATCTGGAGATTTGACCGTTGAACAAAGAATTTCGGTTCTCGATCGGTTTAGAGGTGGACTCGAAAAAGTACTTATCACAACTAACGTGTTGGCTAGAGGTAATCATTCTGCTTAGTTACCCTTAAAGAACCTCTTCACCGATCAGGAAGTTCAACTATCTGGCTTGCAGGTATCGATGTTGAGCAAGTAACGATAGTGGTGAATTTCGACTTACCGATGGACCAAAACCGACAAGCAGATTGTGAAACATATCTGCACAGAATCGGACGAACGGGACGGTTCGGTAAATCTGGTATCGCCATTAATTTGATAGACTCTCCGCATGCGATGCAACTATGCCAGGATATAGAAAAACATTTTGGGAAGAAAATACAGTACCTTGACACAGAAGACGCGGATGAAATAGAAAAGATCGGAGCCTAGATTAGCATGCAAGGTACAGTTATATATACATGTATCGAATATAAGTAATTATATTAATTTATACGAACGTATATATATACTGTAATATTCCGAAAAAGAACATACACTCGTATTCTTAATTTCGATTCTTTGTATTTCTTTTCCAATAGCGCATATTACGGAAATAGTGCACGTTTATACTTTCCTTAATACTTTTATAGTACTTCTAGTACGTAACTGAAATATGCCGATTGGACCGAGAATATACATAGAATTTTAGAAATAAAACGTATAAAGAAATATTTTTATATGTTGCACAAGAAATGTTCTTTTTCATTGACTTTTATCATATAAGAAGAAATGTATAATTCATCGAAGTATGCTCATCCTATGTTTTCATTTTAATAAAGTGTGGAAACTGTCGAATCATAGACCTCCGTCATTAAATATTATTAAGATGTCACTGAACCGTATGCAAAAGGATAATTAAGTAATTCCTTCTGAATCCATTTACAGGAAAATCCATGTCATTCGTGTTTGATGAATTGTCAGATGACATCAATACCTGATTTTTTATTACGAAAACAAAATTTGTACATTTGTTTTATTTTTATCTATGATTAAACCATCTTTATTTGCAAAAAAACGGTCTGTCTTATTATATTCAGGAATAATAAAGTTTTCAGCGATGACAATAAGAACCCATACTTTAAACATATATTTATTGACTAAAAGATAGAAATAAATTGCAACAATTAAGAATTTCTGAATTTAGCCTACTAAAATATATATGTTTATATATCTGCATGCTTATTCTATTTTATGGATAATAAGAAGTATAAAAATGCATCAGTTGATCGCACTCAGAAATTGGATGGTTGGAAACAAGTATTTTATTTTTTATTAACTCGTTGACAATCAAGTAAAAAATACAACTAATTTGGTAACAACTTTAACACAGGAACAAATGCTTAAGTATGGTCTTATCATTTGCTATCGTTTATTCGGAAATGACTAAATTCAGTTTCGTTCATGATACAATTTGCTAGAGGATTTACAATCGTATAGCAGGATATATAAACGAGTTTATACTAAACGTTACTGGGTAAAGAGCCAATTTTTCATACGCAGACAAACGTAATGATGCTCGCGCGCGGAACGAAAACAAATGATCAGATAACATATCAAAACGGTATAAAAGAAATGGTGTGTCCTGTAAAGTATCCTAGGCATTTTGCGTCACGGTTAATCAATTGGTGTATCATATCGTTCAACCGCGTTTCTATCAAGATCATCGAGAACGTCGCGATCGAATTTCAATGCTAAACGAATTAATTACAATGCGAAATTCAGTCTTTGCACGGGATTCGATTTAATTACATGCCCATGCCTCCCATGCCCATTCCACCCATGCCACCCATGCCACCACCACCCATCGGCATCTGGGGTTCCTCTTTAGGCAATTCGGTGACCACCGCCTCCGCGGTCGTCAGCAACGACGCGACACCCGCGGCATCGGTAAGCGCCGTGCGCACCACTTTCGTCGGGTCGATGATCCCCTTCTCGATCATGTCGACGTATTCATTGTTCAAAGCGTCGTAACCGAGATTGCTTTCACTAACTTTCGCTACCACTAAACTAGCATCCACGCCCGCGTTCTGAGCGATCTGGAGACACGGCATACGCAACGCGTCCGCCACTATTTTAATCCCGGTTTCTTGATCGGTGTTCGAAGCCTTCATACTACGAAGAGCCGGGATGCACCTCAAGAGTGCAGTACCACCTGTACAAAATATTTCCAATTGTAAATTGAATCGTTCACATCTAAAAGATGTCAAATGAATATTTATTTACCTCCGGGAACTATTCCTTCTTCAACGGCTGCTCTGGTTGCATTAAGGGCATCGTGGACGCGGTCCTTCTTCTCGTTGACTTCGACCTCGCTGCTTCCACCGACTCTCAGCACAGCGACTCCTGAAGCTAATCTTGCCAGACGTTCTTGCAGTTTTTCTTTCTCGTACTCGGAAGTGGTGTTGGCGATCTGATCCCTGATCACGTCCGCTCTATGATCGATGTCGGCCTTCTTTCCTTTACCCTTGAGGATGAGAGTGTCGTCTTTCGTAATGACGACTTCGCCCACTTCGCCCAAGTCGCAGGCCTGCACGCTTTCTAACTTAACGAGATTCGCATCGTCACCGAAGACGATTCCTCCGGTCAAGATCGCCATATCTTGGAGAGTGGCTTTCCTGTTGTCTCCAAACCCAGGTGCTTTAACTGCAGCCACCTGCAAACCGATTTTCAATCTGTTGACGACGAGGGTAGACAGCGCTTCACCGTCGACGTCCTCCGCTATAATGACGAGTGGTTTCCGTTGAGAATTCGCCAGTTCCAATGCAGGAATTATGGACTGTACAGATGATATTTTTTTCTCGCTAAATAGCAAAAGTGCATCCTGAAATTCGACCTTTGCCCCTTTACTGGAATTTATGAAATACGGAGATATGTAGCCCCTGTCGAATTTCATTCCTTCTATAACTTCCAGCTCGTCGTGTAACGTTTTCCCATCCTTTACGGTGATCACACCTTCTTTCCCGACCTTCTTCATCGCGTCTGAAATAAGAGTACCGATCGCCTGATCCCCGTTAGCGGAGATCGTAGCTACTTGTGCGATTTCTTCTGGAGTGGTCACTGGCTTACTTAAAGTTCTCAGTTCGTTTTTAACTTTGTCGACGGCCAACATAACGCCTGTAACATATCCATCGTTTAGCCATCGACGTTGCACTTAATAAATTGATCAAAACTCGCTTACCTCTCCTTATTTCCACAGGATTTGCGCCTTTGCTAATTTTCTCGAAACCTTCTTTGGCAATGGCTCGTGCTAAAACTGTGGCAGTGGTCGTGCCATCGCCAGCTTCCTCGTTCGTATTGTTTGCAACATCCTGTACCAGCTTCGCTCCGATGTTCTGAAACTTGTCCTTCAACTCGACTCCCTTAGCCACTGTGACACCGTCCTTAGTAATCTTTGGACTACCCCAACTTTGCTCCAAAATAACATTACGTCCTTTTGGACCCATCGTTACTGCCACGGCGTCCGCTAAGATATCCACCCCTTGCAGCATGAGTGCTCTGACCTCTGCACCGAAGCGTACATCTTTGGCATACGAACGAGTTTGCAATTGACGCAAAGCTGTGCTACGTAATACAGTCGGTAATCTGTACATCTGTAATAATAAGAATTTCTTACAATTCCAAAGTTCTTTCCACGTACAATGTTCTATAGAATATGATTTTCGAGGACTTCAAAGTTTGACTGATAAATTCCATCGTTTTATTTTCGTAACAAACGTGTACATTCTCATGCATTAACACACGTCTAAACTAAAATATCAATCGTAATCCTAACGTAAACGTGGTTATGTAAATGCCGCGTGGATAGCGAGAAAAAGAAATTGTCCGATACTAAGTGTTCCTAATATATCAGAATTTTTTTACACTCGGTATCTTATTATGCAAAATCCATCGTCTTTACATTATCTACAAGGTTTGCCTCCTATCGCTTCGCATAATGTATAAAATAACCCGATCGGTTTATTCGTTTAAGAAAAGGATCAGAATAAGAGAAGAAGGAGCAAAGAGGTATCATGTAAAAAAGGAAATAATTTAAGAGAAATCGGAATCAATACCAATAAATGTTAATTAACATTTTTTATGTAACATTATTAAAAAAAATTGGTTCCTGGGAACGTTCAGAAGTTTGACTTGTTGAACGGACAAACATAAAGATATCCTTAACACGAAATAAATTAAAATGATTGTATCAATTATCAAACGAATACAGTATGAAACGAATGCAACAAGAATAAGTTAGCCTTCAAAGAGAATTTCGCCGGGTAGTATCGCTGCGTAGCTAATACACGGTTTATCGTTAAGAAATGGATAATATTGATTGAAAATACATTTACCTTTAATTAATGAAACGAGAAAAAGCCCTTGGGTAGAGATTGTAGTTACAAAAGTAATTGAAAATCGTCACAGCGTGACCGCACGTTGTCTCGCCAGTAGAATGAAATGTGTAAGAAAGACTATACTGCTATCGTGCTATTGCTATCACATGGCTACTACTCCCCTCTCCTTCTATTTTAACTTATCCTCCTCGTTTCTTATTTAAAGAAATCTCCTGAACAATTCGTTCAAGTTTAATCGATGATCAGAACAGTTCGAATTATTTGATAATTTTTTTTCAAGAATATTTCATGCACAAATCGTCGATTTACGATTTTCTAAGCATGAATGGGTTAGAAAAGTTCTAGAATGTACGAGAACACGTGCAGTTCGATGTGATGCAATCGTCGAAAGAACGACAATCATGTTTTTCTATGTGCCGACCGTTGATGTACCGAATCTATTCTTTTCTGAAAAGAGGACAACAGGAAATGTACTTAGAACCAAATATTCTTATTTTTCTATCTTCATAAATTGCTACGATCTAAAACAGCTTCGTGAGAAAGAAAAGAATATAACGCTCGTCGTATCAGTTGAGCAATAGGGAGACTCAGATTTCTTCGGGTAATTGAGGAATAATGAGAAAGAAGTCTTGTATGTGAAACCTGAGTTTTATTATTCGATACCTTCTTACATACATTGTATTCTACGCGCACTTTCTATTTCTTTTACAATCCTCATTACTTTACCGAAAGTTTCTCCACAAATAATTATAATCCCCCAAGAAACACATACTATAAAAAGTACTTAAAAACTATTTTTAGATTAAAAAAAATATCGAGCATAAAAAATAGTTTAATGAATCGTTGAGGTAGCGAATATTATTACGAATTATGATTTATTTTCGAGACTGCACAGCGGAGAACGTGTAGGAGAGCGAACGGGAAGGGGATACGGTAACATCTATGTAGTTCATTTACAAACAAAATTGTTTTATACAAAATACGCGGCCAATTGTGCCATCTTGTCTTTCGATGGACGAGGTTTGCCCCGGCTGCGACCTTTCGCGTGGGCACGGCTACGGGTCGTGACCGGTTTCGAGGCGACGGCACGATGCTTCTCTACGAGCTCCATGAAGACCGGCGTGCAAAAAATGCAGCCGGTCATTTGCGTGGCTTCGTCAGGGAATTTAGTCTTCTCCTGAGAAAGTAAAACGAGATCGTGGACCGAGTACGATCATGTTGAAATATCAGAGAAGAATATTGATAAATGTGACTTTCACGGTAAGATTAATTAATTGGTACCTGTTTGTACTCGACGGTGACCAACTGAGCCCCGCAGTCGCACACGGTGGTATCAACCGCTACTTTATGAGCGTTCTCGAATAAATGCAAAATAACGTCGCAACGATTGCATCCAAGCTTCCATTTAGGCGCAGACGAAGGATCCAGGACGAGTATACCACCATTGCACTCTAAGCAGCTCGATAAACCGTTCGAGTTCATGGCGTGCGGGCAGGTCGGGTGGGTACAGGAATTGCAGCCACTCATCCCTTTTTTCATATCTCTGGAAATCATAATTTATCAATTGTTACACCCTGATACGGTTGTTAAACATATTTTTATAATTTTATGATACCTGAACGGAGGATTGTTGTAACAGTACGGACAGAACGTGTAGCTTTTTCCCCGAGCTCCGGTGGACCACGAAAGCAATTCGAAATCGTCTAGTGGACACTTCAGCTCTTTGTAAATCCGAATGTTGCCATTTTGCGGGAGGTTGTACGTTTCGTTGCAATGCGCGCAGTGCATCCTTGACGGTTTCGTTTGTATGTACTTCATATAGCGTCGGCACTTGCCACACCTGAATTCGTAAATACGATTTAAGAAAAATGTACGTTTTCACAAACCGAGTTGCATACCTAGAGTGTGCCTTCCCTGACGCGGAAAGAGGTGAAAATGAAACTTCGAACAACTGATCCATCGCCTCTATACTTTTTACGAAGTAATGGAACTTCTGTTTAAAAATCTCAACCGTATGCTGCAACACCGCATGAAAGTCAGCTCGTCCCAGAGCTATCAGATTCAATTGTTCTTCCACCGCGGATCTCATTGTTGGCAAAACTAACTCCGGATCTATCTGATATAATAATTATCACGCGCTGTAGTTAAATTATTAATCTTGTATAATTGAAACACGTACCTTTTGATAACCGTGAACTAAGACGATTCCCAGGGAAGTAGGAACCAATTTTCTACCAGCTGCCACATTCACATAATTTCGCATACATATGTTGTTTATGTGTACGGGAATAGACGCGTCAGTTCCGATACCGTGTTTCTCCATAAGAGATATTAACTCAGCTTCTGTCAAGTAGTCTGGAGGCTGCGTATAACACTCGACTAACTTTACCTGTTGATTATAAAGATCATTTAACGCTGTCTCGTTACGTTAACAAAATTCGATTTTATCTCAATTTTTTACGACCTCCTGTACGTTGACTTTCTCGCCTGGGGTAAATCTAGGCAAAGTATCGTTGCTACCAAGCTGCTGCCATGTGAGTATGCTGGTGTACCCTGGGTCGAGTAAACTGTGACCGTTCGTTGTGAACGTTTCCATTCCTATCTCGAATTTAACGGTTGTACTCAGATATTTGCAATCGCTAGCCAACTGGAATATGAAATTATAAACGATCAGATGATGGTATTAAAGATGTCAGCAGAAGACTTACCGTGGCGATGAAATGTCGAGTTATGTAATCGTACAGTTTCCACGCATCGCCGTCGAGTTCGTTCCGCGTAGCATGTTTCATGGGAGTGATAGGAGGATGGTCACCGACGTTCATTCCTTTCTTTGGCCTATTAATACCGACGGCTAATATTTTACGAACTTGATCTCCCCAATCGGAATGATTTTGCTGTTGTTTCAACACTGCACTGAATACAAACATTTTTTTACTCGTTTAAATAGAAGAAAAGCATCGAAATATTTTATTTAACGTACAGTAAATCGAAGTTCTCTGGGTATAGCGTCGTTTCGGTTCGCGGATAGCTTATATATCCTTGGGTATAAAGACGCTCGGCGATTTGTATCGCGTGGTGAGGACCCATCCCTAAACCTGAACTCGCTACTCTCATCAATTCTACCGTGTTTAAAGCTATGGGCCGAGACTTTGTCTTCTCTGAGCTTTCCACGCTTAATACTCTGTATTATTTTATAAAACAAATATTAATCTCTGGGATTCATACAATGATAAAATATGAAACTTACGTTGCTTGATCGTACTCTTTGACATGGCTTAAAAACATGTTTGCTATCTCCTTGTCAAACGATCGTACGCGGCTCCAGCTTAAAATAACGTCTTGACCATCGGAAGACTTGATCGTCACCTGCATTCGAGTTCTGCTTTTATTTCCTCCTTGAATATATTCCGATGTACAGAAAAAACATGATTTACTTGTCGTACCTGTAGGATCCAATAGGGGTCTGGTTTAAATGTTTGAATCTCGTCGTGCCTCTGAACGCAAAACCCTAGTGTCGGCGTTTGACAAGGGCCGTAAGAAATTAAAGATACATCTAAATCACCGTATTTGCCCTGAGGATAGAATACGAAATTAACATGCAGCGAAAATGACGGGAATTGTTGTTTAATGAGTCCTACCTGAAAAAATCTCGTTTGGAACCTTGTGAAAGCACAACCGATCCGTAAATCCAACTCTTGCCGTGCATCGACACTCTTTGCCTCGTTCTCATTAGGCTTTACCAAGTTCGCCATTGCAGCCTTAATATCTTTCTCTGTGATAGCAGAAAATCTAGCTCTCCATATGTCCTATAATAAATACATACAAATCAATTATCAAATGACAAACTGAGATTTTAGAGAGCTTACGTTTGGGTTTAATCTTCTGTTCATTCCTTGCTGAACAGCATGAATAACTTCGAAGCAAATATTTTCACCCTCTTTATCACAATCTAGCCACAATACTAGATAATCGCAATGACCTCCTTCTTTACCTAAGAAGTAAGGAATTTTTAATCTAGGAACTGCTTCCTTTTTTTCGGTTGGGCATGAAAATAGCTCTGCCTTAAACATGATAGAGAAACATCTTATTAACAGGAATAGAATATATGGTTTTTATAGAATCAGATTCTAACTCACAGGATCAACTTTATCCCAATTATTATACTTTCCAATAAAGTCTAACGTCATTACATGACCGAATACAGAGGTCATTTTAAAGTTCACTGTCTCTGACCTGAACTGACCTATCCATTCGAATACCGAACAAGACGATCCATTTAAACCTAAAATTAACAACATTCTGCTGAGTGAAAAAAATTTTAATTCATGAACGAAATGTCCAGAAATTCGAACACGTACAAGTTACGTTCCCCGCATATTGCAGGGTAACATAACCTACCTTTCCTGGAAGTGCATCGGCCGTTACTTAAAATATTGGCAAGGGACGCTGCCAGAGACGGCTTCTCAGCTACCATCAATGCTGTCTTCATTTTTATACGATTTACTTAACTAAATACTTTCAACGAAGATTACTAACTGCAATTAACGTGATCCGGGATCACATTCGGCGGTGCTCGCTATTCGAGGCTGCACGCTTGACATGTCAACCACTTACAGGTATTAACAAAACCATAGGATCATTGCTTGAAAACTAGCTATCAAGTGCTGTCAGGTCCTTTCTATTTCTTCCTGTTTATAAAAGAATGATCGACATTTAAATACCGATCAACGCACAGTCGTCTCGTATTTTTTGACATGATGCAAACGATGCAAACTGAAGTTATTAACTGTATGCGATTTATATTTTTACTACAGTCGCTTTGACTATACATACATGGACTGCCAGTAGCATAGGCTTGCAATGCTAACGTGTCGTCGGCGACGACTCGTCGCCCATGGTATGGTGTGCATGCTACGGTGGAACTGGAGGTTCTTGTCNATACTAGATAATCGCAATGACCTCCTTCTTTACCTAAGAAGTAAGGAATTTTTAATCTAGGAACTGCTTCCTTTTTTTCGGTTGGGCATGAAAATAGCTCTGCCTTAAACATGATAGAGAAACATCTTATTAACAGGAATAGAATATATGGTTTTTATAGAATCAGATTCTAACTCACAGGATCAACTTTATCCCAATTATTATACTTTCCAATAAAGTCTAACGTCATTACATGACCGAATACAGAGGTCATTTTAAAGTTCACTGTCTCTGACCTGAACTGACCTATCCATTCGAATACCGAACAAGACGATCCATTTAAACCTAAAATTAACAACATTCTGCTGAGTGAAAAAAATTTTAATTCATGAACGAAATGTCCAGAAATTCGAACACGTACAAGTTACGTTCCCCGCATATTGCAGGGTAACATAACCTACCTTTCCTGGAAGTGCATCGGCCGTTACTTAAAATATTGGCAAGGGACGCTGCCAGAGACGGCTTCTCAGCTACCATCAATGCTGTCTTCATTTTTATACGATTTACTTAACTAAATACTTTCAACGAAGATTACTAACTGCAATTAACGTGATCCGGGATCACATTCGGCGGTGCTCGCTATTCGAGGCTGCACGCTTGACATGTCAACCACTTACAGGTATTAACAAAACCATAGGATCATTGCTTGAAAACTAGCTATCAAGTGCTGTCAGGTCCTTTCTATTTCTTCCTGTTTATAAAAGAATGATCGACATTTAAATACCGATCAACGCACAGTCGTCTCGTATTTTTTGACATGATGCAAACGATGCAAACTGAAGTTATTAACTGTATGCGATTTATATTTTTACTACAGTCGCTTTGACTATACATACATGGACTGCCAGTAGCATAGGCTTGCAATGCTAACGTGTCGTCGGCGACGACTCGTCGCCCATGGTATGGTGTGCATGCTACGGTGGAACTGGAGGTTCTTGTCTCTGCT